GTCCAGGGGATTCCTAGGCTTGTCCTAGTGACAATAGGTAATTTTTTGCTGCTCGCGGGTGGACTTTGCGCCTTGCCTGGGGCAGTGCTTTTATCCTGGGTGGTGAGACTCTTTGGAAGGGCAAAATATGGCGATTCTCTGTGACCGGACCTATTACGAACATAACGTTGATATGGGCCAGACTAAAGGCATTTGGTTCCCGCAGTGGCTCGCCAGGTTCATTCATTCCTTGCATTTTTGTACTGCCAAAGTTCTCTGGGCAGCTTCCAAAGACTAGAAGAATCTAATCTAGCATCTAATCTCATGTACATGAAATAAAAAGCATTTATATACAAACATAAGCAGACAGCACTTTAACAATGAACTGTAAGAAATCACAGGACCAGAATAAAAACCTTCCCATCTGCCGTGAAATGCCCAAGAATAGGGGAAGGGTTAATCTTGCACCTAACGGAGAGCAATGTTGGTCCCTGGAGGGCTTTGCTAGGCCCCTTGGAGGAACACCAGTGAACAAGTCCCGTCTCTCGATGCCACCGTCTGATCTTCCCTTGGAGAAAGCACCTGAAGAACAGCTTCAGGGCTGAGTGAGGTCGCGGGGTCTGATCTGCTTGTCATACTGGCAGTTTGTTACTTTGCTCATGGCAAGCAGAGTCAGGTTGCCCTTTGGGACACAGTGATCAAAACACCCCCGAAGGAGAGCTATTGTACCACGGTGGCATCTAGCCAGGCACTGACTGTTAGTGGCTCTCCATGGTCATGGTCCGCCTGCCCCGAGATCATCCTAACTGAAGATACTGAGGACAGAATGTCGGACTTCATGTATGCAAACCAGGATGGGGAAGGCACTCCGGTGCTCCTTAATGTGACACTGGATAGCTATTCTATTCACTTTCTCTCAGGTGAAATGAAAATCCAGGGATGTCGCAACAATCTTCTAATCATGGTTAGAAGAACAGGAGCTCCCTGCCAGAGTACAATCTCCCTCTTTTCTCATTTATTTATTTACATGTATTTATAGGCCTCTATAATTGCCAAGGCCTTCCTAGGCGCCTCATTGTTCTCTGCTCCCTTCTTTTTTCAGCGCTAACCACAGTATATCATTCCATCTATCAAGGTCAGGTTGACCATGGCTAACTTTGAACAGAACGTGTAAACCTTCTCTAGCCATGGTTGCAAGCTCTGCTGAGACTAACATGCTTACCCAGGTGCAGACTTACTCTAAGCGCCATGGTTTGCTCCAAAAAGGAAGGAGGGTGTGAATGCACGAAGGAAGCAAAGAAACTCTTAAGCCAGGCAGTGCTCTTTCTAACCAAGGGGCTAAGGCAGAAAACTTATCACCCATTTAATGCTTGATTAATAAATGAAGGAATCCACTTCAGTGCCAGTGGGTGCAGGACTGGAACGAGGGCATTCTAGAAGCCCTTCCAAATTAATTCATGTGTGGAACAAGGAGTGGGGCTTCGCTGTGTTGCCCAGACTTTGGAATGTTTCTGTTATAAGAGAATATGCATTTACGAAGGAAGTATCCACTCGTTTCTCAGAGGTGGCTTGACCGCAAATCATGAAGTGGCAGCCAGTGAACACACCACTAGGGAAAGTAGAGTTGAGGACTGGCAGATGTGACCCCGATGGGATACCCCATTTGGATATTCTCTCCCATAAATGAGCTCCCAGTTACTTTGATCCATCTTGTACTAAAGAACTAACCCTCCCACCCCCAAAGTACTGTCCAGTGGATTGTTCTGTATACTAATGGGAAGAGGATTTAGAATTTGCTCTTCAGGCTCCAGAAACATTTTGCACAAGACTTCTTACAAATTCTCTAAGGTCATTCTCTGAAGAGGGAAGTTTCGTTTCTGAATCCTTTCACTCTTCCGTGGGCGATCCGTAATTAACCCTCCTTCAGAGAGGGGTCACAAGCTGAACCCCCTTCTCAGGCCAGGCCTTTGAGTGAACCAAAATCATATCCTGTTGAAATCCAGCTGCTGAGAAGCTTAGACTACAAAGCGGAGTGATGGGACCAGCAGATAAGGAGCCAGTGCCGAAGGACTTAGTAGAATCACTTGGGCAGCTGCTTTTATTTTTCAGTCTGCCCCTGGCTGGGCAGCGATTTATCCAAATTATACACTCCAGATTATAAAATGTCATTCCCCCCCTCTCTGCAGCAGGAATCATTTGGCCTGCTGCAAACACAGCCATGAATTCTCGCCGTTGCAGGAGACGAGTGAGGTGAGCGTGAGGTGTAACTGTGACAGCACCAGACATCAGCCCACTGCCGCTTTGTTGATGCTCCTAGTGCTGGACGAGCAAACTTTTGAGCATGTGCTCTTTTGCATTCCCAGCTCATTTAAATCGTCTGCACCATCATGACTACAGGATCCTGCCACTCCCTGGCGATCATGTGGGGGCAGTTGAGTTTTAGGGCCATGGACTTTGGCCCTGACATCCGGCCTCTCTGCAGCACTGGCAGCAGGATTGGAACTTGCTGTGAGCTTGCTCCTCTTCATGGATAGATGAAGTGCATGGGGGCTCGGAAGGAACCCCTGACTGGACTGTAGTCAGTATGTGGAAGGAAGACAGGGCTGAAGCTATCAGCTAAACCTTTTAAATGAGATTCCTTCTAATCGTCTATCCTGAGTTTGGCTGAGGTCATGGTTTCCTCTCCTCATTGCTTGCATGCTCTAGGAAAAAAAGAGGATCCAATTTCTGGATGCTGCTCTAAACCTTTTAGTGTGTACCAGAAAATGATAGGGATTCCGAAAACCTTTTAAGGCATTCCGGGGATTTAATAAAAGGTTAGAGTGTTTCAGTCAAGAATGATTGCTCCAGGATGGAACAGCACGCCCCTAGAGCCGAAATGGATGTGCTGAGGAGTGCTCTGCTCAGAAGGCTCCCATGCCAATTCTGATGTTGCATGTTCTCTAAATCTTGGATTGTTCCAATATCTGCAGAATTTGAGTTTGACATCCAGTGATATTTGACGGACTTCTCTAGCTGACTTTCAGTGTTGTTTGGTATCAGACAGTCTGTGTTGTCCAATGCTCAACAGTATTGAGCATTTGCAAATTGCTGTGAAATGGGCATAGCATCAAACGGTGTGTGCTACATAAAACATAGAGGGCCTTAGTGTTAGGCACAGACATCTGCAACAATTCCAGGGCTTCTCCTGTCCAGAGTGCCAGCCAGCCCTAAATGCATCCCTTCCTCTAAGATATTCCATTTGTTTCCCGCTGGTTTTCTTTTCTAATGGACGCACACCCCTTTTGGTTACTGAAAGTGCCCAGTTGACACTGGGACTGGTCAACCAATTCCCCCAATTAGCTTTTTTCTTTTGTAAAACTTTGGGATTCCTCCATGTATGCTCACACCTATCTTTTAGCTCTTGGTGGCCCCATTTTGGGTACAGAGCTGTTGTTACTTCACTCCTGAGTTCCATACCTGAGGGAGGACTGTTTGCTGGCTGACAGGTTATGTGCTTCCAAATAGAAGTCTGTTGAAATAATGCGGAGTGGCCAGCGGGTGAATAATGTTGAGCAGAAATAGCCCAATTACACCTACCTCTGATCCTACTGTGTGTGCGCGGGCTGGAGGGGTGCTTCTGGAAAAATGCACAGCCCCATTTCTAAATCACGCTCCTTGTGGAAAGCATGATGGGCACTTTCATATGTGGTTGGTTTTGACGTGGTACTTGTCAAACAAGCACTTTCACACCTCAGGTGGATTCTGCGGGTGGAGAAGGCTGGACCACATCACCTAAATTATATTTATGCAACCAAGGTTCAGGGTGGCAACTGTGGGAGGTCACTTTTTTGCCACTTTAGACTCCCTTTTTGCCACCTGGACTCTCTTGAATGGGGCCATCTGAACTAAATCTACCTAGCTACCTAAACAGAAAGCATGATTCTCCATGGTATGTTAGACTGCCAAAAAACATAAGTGTAGCTTGAAAAAGTTCAAGTGTAGTTTGCAAGCACGCTAAAATTTAATAGTTGGGTATTCCATCATACTGCAGATCCAATTTCTTTTAAAAATGGGGGTAGGACCAGAAAATGGGGATAGGCAGCGTGGACTGAGCCAGGCAGGAGTAAGTGGCTGTACCCCAGCCAGACTTGCAGGGGCGATTCCCCTGCTTCGGGGTCCAGAAATCAGTGGCTGGAGCTGGAGGCTTGCAGAGAAGGTGAGCAGGCGTTCTCTTCCAAAGAGAACAATCCTTAAGTCGAAGGAGTTCTCTCTTGGAAGGGCTGCCTGGTCCATTTCCACCTGGAAAGCAGTGGTCCATGAGAACGATGCCCATGAAATGTTTGCACTCGGACATCAGGCCAGACAGGTAGTCACCTGGTCACTGTCTCCTACACTAAGTGAAAATGGACTGTATTTCTGTTTACCTTATAATTACTATTTCTAAAGCTGGATTGCTACCTATAAATTATCACATTCAAAAGCTATGCAAATAACTGTCCTTTGTCCTGGTTTTTTTTGACAATGTGAGCAGTCTCTCTGCTTGGAGCAGAAAGGTTGGCAGAACCAGGGGCTGTTGATCAGAAGCAGACCAGTGCTGGCATTTTCCCAGGCCTGGCCAGCCCAGATCTTTAATGCTGCCTGCCAGAGGGGAGGGTTGTTTTTGTTCACTTCTGCCCCCGTTGCACTCTGAGGCCCCACGGGGTTCATGAGACGAGCCCCTGGATTCAGGTGAGGGAAGTCCCAGGAGACCCGGCACAGTGTGCGAAGGCTGTGCTAAGACATGATGCGGACCAGCGGCAGCGTGGAAAAATTCCCCGAGCGTGCAAAGTCTTGAGAGCCATTCCCCAGAGGGACAGTTGTCCTTCTTCACAGATAACGTATCTCAAAGAGGAACCCTGCTCCCCATAAAGAGACCCTTGTTCTTACGATGCAGTGAAGCAGTGGCCATGAATGTTTGGGGTGTGGGTGGAGGGAAGGGCTGGTCTCCTTTCCCCCACGAAAGGCTTCGGTGCTGATTGTCCCTTGTTCTGTTTTTCAAGCTGATCAGTGGCGGTTCTATTGTAAGCGCTGAGGCAGTATGGGATCACGTCACCATGGCCAACCGGGAGTTGGCGTTTAAAGCAGGAGACGTCATCAAGGTTCTGGATGCCTCCAACAAGGACTGGTGGTGGGGACAGATTGACGATGAAGAAGGATGGTTTCCCGCCAGCTTTGTAAGGGTGAGTCTCTCCTTCTGCCTTCTTTCGTGTTCCTTTCAAATTCCTGCTCATTCTTTGTACGATGATGGTTAGGTTTAGTGCAGGTGAAAGAATGCATTGGCTCACACCATGCAAAATTAATTTATGGCATTCAGCGTAGTGTGATAGCCACTGGTGTGGGTGGCCTAAAAGGAAATGAGGATGATATTAGCCACAGCAGCTAAACGGAATCTCAACGTATTGGTGCACTGTTCCTTGCAAACAGTGGTTGCTGGGCAGGAAGGGGGAAGCAATAGGGTGATAGCTATTGTTTCGGGGAAGCCACTCTGGGGACAGACTGGGCCACAAAATGGCTGGATCCAGCAAGACTTCTCCTGTGTTCTTATGCTAAGGATTTTAAAAAAGTTATTCTATCTATCCATCCATCTATCTATATCTTTAAAATTTGATTTTAAAATTTGTATTGTCGACTTTTAATGATGTTTTAATGTTTGCATATTATGATGCATATGGTAATTTTAATGTTCTTTGTAAACTGCCCAGAAAGCTTTGGCTATTCAGTAGTATAGAAAATAAGTAAAGTCCTCAATTATCAGATTTGGAATTTTGAAAGTGTGCCGTGGGCACATTCACAAAATGTCTTCCATGGGGGTGAGGCTTGTTCATTCGTAATATGGCCGCCATGATGAGCTAGGCTGGTTGCAGAGCACAGCAGGCAAAGTAGCGAAGCCAACAAAAGAAAACTTCCATCCCACAAAAAAATCCCAGCTTTCAGACAAATGTAAGTACAAGGCAGAGGTGGGTCCTGAGATACAAAGCGGAAAACTACTCTTTTGAACCTGGAGGATGTTGGCACAAACGGAAAGGCGTTTGCTTTCCGGCATGCTAACACCCCAGTTAAAACTCATTTTTTTAGATGAAAAAGACCTTGAAAAATGAAATAAAAATCAGGAGAGACAGGTAATGTGGTGGGCACCAAGACAGTCTGCTGCCAATGGACTGGTACCCATGGGAACCATGCTGGGGAGTGTGAGATGCTAGGATGGGTAGATCAGTCTATTTCTGGATCCTGCCAAATTCACATGTGTTTGTTCATTTATTTGTGAGTTCCCACCGTCCTATTACAGCATTGATCTGTTCATTTCTTAAAACATTTCTTTGGACATCTTGTCCCACAAATTCATCACTTTTCTACCTAAAATGCACATTTTAGTACCTTTTTTGCACTTCTACCTGCATTTCCTCCTCCTCCTCCTCCTTCTTGTTAATACTGCAGTTATATGCTGCATGTTAGTCTGAGAAAATATAACACAGCTCACTTTGCTCATCACAACTGCAGACTGATGAAAATCCTAAAGTGTCTCCATGCAATGATGCAGGCTATTAGTTTTGCACGGAAGGCTAACAAGCTTCATCAGCAGAGGGAGGAAAGTTGCTATTGCAGCTGTGCAATAAGCTGCGAGAGTTGCCCTGCTGGGAAATAAGATAACATTTATTGCGTGGGAAGTCCGAAGTGGGGAATTTGGGTGTTCAGAATGTGAAAGGGCTTCAGGCTGTTTCCTAAAACCATTTCCCCGCGAGTTTGCAGTGGGTTAAAACTTCAGAGCATGGCACTGTGCCAGTTATGCTTTTGAGTGGTGAAGCGAAGGCAGCGTGGGCAGCCTCAGAGGCAGCGTCCAAAGCCCCCCTTCCTGAAAGCCCTCCAGAGTTCCTCTGATGGCCATAAGCCCTTCTCTTGCACCCTCCGCCCTTTTCCCGACCAACGGATGCATTGGAAATGTGGCGCTGGAGGAGAGCTTGGCAAACACCCTGGTCCTCCGGAAAGACGAACAGGGGGATCTTCGCTCCAGGCAAGCCAGAGATTGCCCTGGAAGCATGAAACTGAGGCTCTTATATGGCAGGCGCATCATGCCGAGTGTCCTCCTTAGAAATGTGTCCAAGAACGCCACCATGCTCCCCTTCCTTGTGTCCAGGATTCTTGCTGTCCTCATCAGTTCGTGCTCCTCTGTGTTTGCCTCTAACGCGGCGGTGCTTCTCCTCCTGGGAGGAGCTGTGCTGCTGCCGATGTGCCCAAGAGAGCAAGAGCAGGGCTGCCCCTCCCTGCTTCCTCCTGCTACTCACAGCCTTGCTGTTTTAACACGGACATCACAGGCATTTGCACAGGAGTCAGGAGCAAGGCACTGACCCCGTTCATCCATCCCTCCCTTTTGGCCTGTGCCTCTCTGACAGAAGGCTGATAGATTTCATGCTTCTTGAAGCCTCGGAGAGATGGCACAATAATGGAGATTTAATTCCCTTGCAAATCATCTGAAGAAGATGCTTTCCTTTTAACTTTCCAGGCAATTTGGCCAGCTCCGTGCTGGTGGGAGGGCAGGGAAGGCAAATTTATCCGCAGAAGAAGCAATGCTTTCTCCCCTCTCCGCTACCGCCTGAAGTCATGTCAGTTCAGCCTGTCAACCTGATCTTCATAGCGGGATTTTGTTTCAATTTGCAAACCACTCAAAGACACCCCATTCACAACCCTGAATATGAACAAGAGTGTATGTTATCCAGAAAAGTGCACTGGATTCATATTTGGAAAATGGACAACATGCAAATTTTTAAACATGCATGCTTTATTGTTAAGTGTATGTTTCAAAGCATACATTTTTTTGAATGGGCACTTTAAAAGATTTTTATTTTGATGTTTGGTCGGGGGGCGGGGTTAGGAATCCATCATGGTGCTGCTGCTGCTGCTGATGCATTTATATCCCTCCCCTTTTCCTCTTGTAAGGAACCCCAGATCCATTTTTAATCCTCACAACAACCCTGTGAGGTAGCTTAGGCTATGAGTGAGTGACTCACCAAAAGGCACCCAGTGGGTTTTGTGGCCAAATGGGGACTAGATCTCCCAGGTCCCCAGTCCTGCACCCTAAGAGTGACATCCATGAGCCCCTTGCCTTTGGTGACACCACCCTTTAAGAAGCGAACCATCCCCGGTTTGCCTTGTCCCTTTTATTGATCTTCATCATCCTCATCGCAGAGTCTGTCTCTTGGTCAAATGGGCATGTGAAGAAGTCTGAAGATTTGCTTCTTTGCCTGAGCTGCCGCAACTGTGACTGTTAAAATAATTCTAAACACATGCAATTAAAAAACAGAGCCAAGACACTCTTTGGAAGCAAGATTCAAAGGAAGTGCCAGAGTTAAGTGTGAAGGACAGGACCCACCTTTTAGCAGAACAGGTTGTCCTTGGACAATCATCCGTCAAAGTGCAGAAGTAAGAAGAGCTCATCAACTGGCTCAGCTCATTTCACAAGCATCCCTCCCTCCACCCAGCAAAGAGTGCCACTGAAATGCTCCCAGTTTCTAAACTGTATCTAAAAACACAAGCCAACAATTTCCTCTCAGATTTGCCATAGAGATGTCATTTCCATCAGCATTGGAGGGACAAAGCTGTCAAGCTTGATTTTCCTCGAGTTCCCTTTTCTTCCTCGGTGCTAAGTTCATTCCATCCCAGTTCTGCACCGGATAATGACTTTTCTTGTTTTACTCCGCACGAACATTTTAATGTCCTTTTGTGCCTGCTGGTGCCAGTGCGGGCCCTTCTTGTGGGAGGGAAGATGAGACAAGCCAATGGCTTGAGGAGGAGTTTTAATCCTACCCAAAGTGTTCCTGAATTAGGACCACGTGCATCCACACTGGAGGAAAGAAAAAGGAAGGAAGGAAGGAAGAGGAAAAGGAAAAGGAAAAGGAAAAAGAAAAAAATGGAGGTTAGATTTATCAAGCTCAACTCTAGTTAATTCAACATTAGCTTAATTAACCAAAGTGATAATTTGATCCAGAGCTGAGGACTTAAAATGATTTGAGCCCTGGAACCGGAGCAAACCAGATGTCAACCTAATGCAGTGTTCTGTTTCCACCATGGCCGACCGAGTGTCTGCTGGACGTTCCTGGACGACATCCTCACAGTGTCCTCACGTACACATGCTGAGAGAGCTTGTATTCCCCAGCAACTGATTTATGGAGGAACGGAAGTTCATATCCTGCATGAATTTGACTAATCTCTGTTTGTAGCTGTCATGGGTGGGTTCTATTAGTCCTTCAGGGTCTCCCTAAGAAATGATGAAAGTCTCTGAGCAAGGTGCCCCTTTCTGCACAATGACCTTTCTGGTAAGCATGGCGTTCACCACATAGGAAGAGTCTTTAGATTGAGCGTCTACACTTTTGTCTTAGTTCCTCTCTGCGATTACCGTGTTGTGGACAGGAGCAGGTTTCTCTTCCCACCCACCCCAGCAATAGAGAGTGTGCAATTGTCAAAAATGTTTTCTCGCCGTCACGTTGCTTGCACAAAACACAGAGCAGCTCACTGGGAGATGCCACGAATGAAGTTAGCTGCAAAAAATGTTCTGTCAAACCAATGAAATGGAAAATTATGTCAAATGCCCACCGGAAGGTTGTAGGTGGAGATTCTTCCTCTTCCACCTTCTTTGCCTTCAAGTAAATGTTGGTGTTATTTTTCATAGCTGTTGCTTTTGACGGCTAGGCAAGATGGGATTGTTGTTTTCAAAGCTGCTGAGACATCTTAATGTGGGGTTGAGCAATGGTGACTCAGAATCTCGAGCTAGCTCGCACAGATCCCCATTACGGGTGTGGGAGAGGAGGGCAAAGGACTCCTGGAACTCTGCCCATGTGAGCAGCAAGATGGGATCAGGCACCTCCTCCTGAGCTGTAGGCAGAGGGCCCTTTAACCCCTTGTCTCCCAGGGAGAAGAGCAGCAGAGGATCTGGCAGGTTCCTGCCCTCAACTGCTGACTTCTGCCCATGTGACAAGACGTGACTACGTGGGAGACAAGGGGTGAGGTGGGAGAAGAGCACTTCACCTGCCCCATGGGAGGCTCCTTCCAGCCCCTTCTTGGAAGCTCTCTGAAGAACACCTTTCCTGTTCTACCCTGAGCATCCCTACTCATTGGTCAGGTCCCTGTTGGGAGTGGGCTTTCGTCCCTGGGTGCTCCTGGCCGGAAGAGGACCCGTGGCCCCATTGTC